GCGGTGATGCTCATTGGGCTGTTTCCCTGCCCTTTCAGGCCACGGAGCTGCTCATAGGGGGACTTCTTTGGCTCTGCCCACAGGACCCAGCCAATTGGCCTCAAGAGCAGGAGGATTGTGGGAGGTGGAGAGGCTTGTGTTGGGGGTGAGAGGCTTGTGGGAAGCCAGTGGTGGCAGTTGGGCTCTGAGGGTTTTTTCCTGAGGAGCTGTTTTGTTTGGCGTTTGTAGTTCTAAAAATAAAGTTAGTTTCTTTTGACAAGTGGCTCCTGAATTGTGCCCAGCCAGACTGCAGCAGAGATACAAGGTGGAAGATCTTTAGAATATTGTAAATGGAGCTTAAGGGACAATTCTTGTGGGGCCTCAGAAGACCAGAATGCTGATAAGACTGTGGACAATAAACTCTGAACACTTGAAGCTTCAGAGGTTGACTCTGTTGAAAATTGGACTAGAGGACATTCATGTTCTGGCAAAGAATTGTCCACATTTTCCCCATGTTCTGAGATTTTTCTGTGATGCTAAACTTAAAGGTGATGGACTAACCTAGTAGAGGAAATTTCATGGAAGAACAATGTTCAAGTGGTAACATGGATGTTGCTGTCATAATTAGGAGCAGAAAAAAAAAGCAGAAAGATTTGAAAATCTTGCTGTTTGGTCAGAAAAGCACACGGAAAACTGGGGCTAAGGAAGGTGTGGTTAATAAAGAGATTATAGCCACTAAAGAGGTGCTAAGTACTTTGAAGAGAACAATTGGAAAGATGGCTTGAGGGCATCTCAGGAATTGGCATGATCACACTCAACCCAGGTTCAAGGCTTGTAGAAGTAAAAATTCCTTTGAGAAATGACTGTTAATGGTAAATTTGAATTGTTAATTTTATTGGATTAAAAAATGCCAAGGATTAAGAGGCTTATGGGTGTGTCAATGAGGGTGTGTGTAGAAATAACTGGCACTCCTGATATGGAGGTCCTCTCTAAGTGTGGTCAGCACTGTCTAATAGGATGATGGCTTGGATATAATAAAAATTGGAAAGACAAGAAAGCAGCAGCAGATGCAAGCTCTATTCTTCTTGAACCAGTTCTTGATTGCTGCTGAGGATATTTAATTCTCATCTCTTCCCTCTTCCAAAGCAGAATCTGTCAATGATTCCTCAGAAGCTTTGGGTAGCACCGTTGATCTCTCTGGTTCTGGGGATTCAGCCTCTTGGACTGTGCAGCTACTACTTACTAGTTCTTCCAGCTCTCTAGCCTACAGACGGCCACTGTGGACTATCCAACTTCTGGTTGAGAAAGCCAACTTAATAAGTCCCCTTTTTATAATTATACTTCCTGTTGATTGTGTTCCTCTAGAGAACCCTGAATAATACAGACACCATGGGGGCACCCTTCTTGCACAAGGTGAAGGATGAGGGCAGGGAAGACCTAGGATATTGTTTTACGTACTTTGTCATTCAGACACTCAGAGGCTGCTACAGCCATGTTCCCAGGAGTCTCAATTAGTGCTCAAGATCGTGGCAAATTTTAGCTTCAACATAGTGCTAATTCTGCAAGAATGCAGGATGCTGGAGTTAAGGGGTCATGGATTTCCACCAGGATTTCAAAGGAAGTTCTGGGAAGTCAGGCAAAGTATAACAAGGTTGAAATCCCTGATACATGAAGATGTGAGAAGATAGCTGAAGCTGCAGTGGAGACTGCTGAGATTAACAGAGGACAGTACTATGGAACATCTGCTGATGAAAACTGCAGGAATCAAATACAGACAAGATAATATAGAGGCCACGTGTGCTGCAACCAACAAGACCACGGGGTCAGGGCCACACAAGAACCTTGGAGAGAATATCACTTTGTCATGTGCCCCAGATGATGGATGTGAAGCTGCAGAACTTGTTTGCCCAGTTGGATTCTGGTCTTCTTTTGGTCCTATCCATTCTTTCTATACCACTATTTATCCCTTTTGGAATGGAAATACTTACTCTGTGCCATTGTATATTGGGTATATGCAACTTGCTTTTGATCTTTACAGGGGAAAACATCCAAGGGTTTGCCTGGAGTCTCAGATGAGATTTTGGCCTTGGAATTTTGGTAATACTGGGACTGTAAGACTATGGAAACTCTTAGAAGTGGACTAATTTGTTATTCCATTGTGAGATGGGTGTGAGTTATTGGGGGACTTGGGCAGAATGCTATGGTTTATATGTGAGGTGACCCCCAAAAGCTCATGTGTGAGACTATGCAAGGAAGTTTAGACGGGAAACAACAGGTTGATGAGAGCCTTCACCTAACCTGTGCATTAATCCACTGATATGGATTAACAGGGTGGTAACTTCAGGCCATCAGGGTATGGCTAGAAGAAGTAGGTCACTGGAGGCTTTTGTGGATATTTTGTCCTTGGTGAGCAGCGTGCTCCCCCACTCCTTCCTGGATGCCATCTTCTGAGCTGATTTCCTCTGCCGTGCCCTTTTCCCGTGACATTCAGTTTCACCTCTGGCCCAGAGTTATGGAGTCTGCCAACCGTGGACTGAGCCTTGGAAACCATGAGCTGAAATATACTTTCCCTCCTCTAAATTATTCTTGTTGACTATTTTGGTCATGTTAACCCAAGGCTGACTAAAACAGTATGCCCCCTGTCCTCAATAAGATCTCATTCTAGAGTGGGAAGTTCAGGAGAAAGGCAAAGCAAAGCATGCATGGGGTGCAGCCTTGGAACTGAAATCATTAACCCAAAGTTTGAACTTTAATAGCCATGGTCCTGTACTCTTTGGCCTTTGTTCCCCAACCATATTATGCCATCCTTCTCTCAGCCACACTGTCACTATCCAAATGAAGGAAATATTACGTTGGATAATGTCTTGGTTTGTTATACTGCTACCCCAAATACCTGAGGCTCAATAATTCATTAAGAACAGAAATTTATTTTCTCACAGCTCTGGAGGGTGAGAAGATCAAGATCAAATCCCTGGAAGGTTTGGTTGCCTGGAGAGGACTTCTCTTTGCTTCCAAAATGGTGCCTTCTTGCTGCAGCCTCTGGAGGGAAGGAATGCTGTGTCCTCGAACGGTTAAAAATGAAGGACAATCCCATTCACAAAGGAAGAACCCTGAAGGCCCATTCTCCTCCAAAGTCCCCACCTCTTAATATTGGCCGGTTGTCTTAAACCCATTTCTGCTGCCATAACAAAACACCACAGATGGAGTAAATTATAAAATAAAAATGTATTCCTCACAGCTCTGGAGGCCGGGAAGTTTTACATCAAGTTGCCAGTATTGTATGAGGGTTTTCTGGCTGTGGGATGACATGGCAGAGGGCATCACCTGAAGAAAAGTGGTAGCATTAGAGTTCAGGTCACTCTTCCTGATTTTACAAAGCCATTAATGCCACCATGGGGGTGTCTTACCTCTTCTAAGTACCAAAAAAGCTCCTCTTCCAAATACCATCAACATATAAATTTGGATATTAAGTTTCCAAGTCATGAAATTTGGGGAAACACCATAGTAGGTAAGTAACATATTTTGAAGATTGTCCAGGAAGTATTTAGCAGAGAAAGAACAAAATCAAAGGGAAAGTGCCATTACAGGAAACACCTGGACAATGTTAAAAGTCAGAGCACTAAAAAAAAAAAAAAAAAGTCAGAGCACTGCCAGGTGTGGTAGTACACACCTGTAATTTCAGCATCTTGGGAGGCTAAGACAGGAGGATCACAAGGTCAGAGCTATTCTCAGCAACTTAGCAAGGCACTGAGCAACTTAGTGAGACTTTGTCTCCAAAGAAAAAAATAAAAAAGGCTCAGTGGTTAGGCATTCCTGGATTCAATCCCTGGCACAGAAGGAGGAGGAGGAGGAGGAGGAGGAGGAGGAGGAGAGAAAGAAATGGGGAAAGAAAGAGTTGGACTATTTCCTAAATACCACAGTGGGAATGAGGTGGGGAGAAAAGAACATGATTGTCCTGGAGTTAAGACAAAGCAGTTGATCATTCATCAGACATTCATCTCTTGGTTTTCCTTTGTGATCCTGGGAGAGTCTGAGTTTCAGATACCATCCATATCTTCTGGCCCTAAACTTGAAGTCAGAGGAACAAACCTTTTCCCCTTACTTTCTGTTTAGCTTTGAACAAGTCACCACTCCCTGAATTTTCTCATTCGTAAAACTCTTTAATAATGATATATCCACCACCAATTTTGTGGGGGGAAAAAAAACAAGAATAAAGTGTGAAAGTGCCTGACCTAGTACGTGACCCAGGAGGAAGTTTTTAAGAAATAGTGGTGTAATCTGATTTGTTGTACTTTATAAAGACTCGCTGCCATCTTTTCACATGAGATAGCACAAGTTCAGAGTGAAGATCTGTCTTGGAAGTCAACCTATTTAAAGTTCACTCCCTGCTGCAAATCACTAGGCGTTTGCCTAGTCTCTTCATGGCTGCCTGCATCTCCTGGTTCCTCAGGGTATAGATCATGGGGTTGAGCATGGGAGTCATGACGGTGTAGCTGATGGACACAGCCTTGTCCAAGGGGAAGGGAGTGAAGGGCCGGGAGTAGATATAGATACAGGGAATGAAGATCATGGAAACCACAATAATGTGGGTGGTGCAGGTAGAAGCTGCCTTCCTCCTTGCCTGCCCCGAGTGGGACCTTAGCATCACCAGGATGACAGTGTAAGAGACGAGGAGGAGGAGGAACCAGATGAGAACCAGCATCCCACTGTTGGAGATCATGAGGAGCTCCAGGAGGGATGTATCTGTGCATGCGAGTCTCAGTACCTGGGGAACATCACAGTAGAAGTTATCCAGGACATTGGGGCCACAGTAAGGCAATGGGAGCATTAGAACCAGCTGGACAATGGAGTGGACAAAGCCCCCTGCCCAGGCAGCCACCACCAGCCCCACACACAATCGAGTGTTCATGATGGTGACGTAGTGGAGGGGTCGGGAGATGGCTATGTACCGGTCGTAGGCCATCACGGAGAGAAAGAAGACGGTCCCACCTCCCAAGAGGTGGAAGAAAAAGATCTGGGCCATGCATCCCTGGTAGGAGATGGTCTTGGTCTCATGAAAGAAGTCCACCAACATCTTAGGGCAGGTGACTGTGGAATAGCAGAGGTCGATGACGGCCAGATTTCGGAGCAGAAAATACATAGGCATGTGGAGCCGGGGGTCGAAAGTCACTGTAACCATGATGAGAATGTTTCCCACGACAGTGGTGATGTAGACAAATAGGAATACCAGGAACAGGAATTCCTGGAGCTCCCGGGTTTGTGAGAACCCTAAAAGGATAAACTCTGACACCCATGTGATGTTCTGTGGTCCCATGGGGTCTTCCCCATGTGCCTAGAGAGGAGCAAAGAAAAAAATCAAGAAAATTTAATTCTTTTTCTTTGGAAGGTCAGGTTTGAGTTGATCAAAGTCACTGCTGCGTGCCATTCTGAGATGCAGCTTGGGGAAGCCTTCCTTCCATGAGGATAAATACATATTTAAGCATCAAGGGAAATCTTCGTATGTGGTAGCTTCAACAGCATGGCTTGGCCTCCCTGAGACAGCCCCTATCCTCGGACCCTACACTCCCAACCCTCAACCTCCCACTTGATCACTGACTTCTGAAATGCCGAGAGCATACTTCATTATTTTATCTTATGTCCTTTATCCCCACTAAGAGTATGACTGCCAGGCACAGTGGCACATACCTGTAATCCCAGCAACTTCGAAGGCTGAGGCAGGAGGATCACAAGTTACAGGCTAGCCCCAGCAATGTAGCAAGACCTGTCTCAAAATTAAAAATTTAAAAAGGGCTTGGGATATAGCTCAGTGGTAGAGAACTCCTGAATTCAATCTCCAGAATGCAAAAAGGAGGGGTATCTGTGAAAAGGGAGAAGACTGTGTGCAGCAAGATTACAAACTGCTGGAAATGTCTGGAAAATGATGATGCATACATTAAAATTCAGCACAATAGCAAGGCATTGTGGCACATGCCTGTGATCCCAGAGACTTGGGAGGCTAAGGCAGTAGGATCACAAGTTCAAGGCCAGCCTCGGCCACTTAGTAAATCCCTAAGTTACTTAGCAAGACCCTGTCTCAAAAGTTTTAAAAATTAAAAATAAGAGCTGGGAATGTGGTTCAGTGGTTAAGTGCCTCTGGGTTCAATCCCTGATACCAAAAAAAAAAAAAAAGTAAAAAGAAAACTCAGTACACTACTCTCTCTATTTGGTACACTACTCTTTCTACCGGTGGGTGTATAAATATTTCCATGGTAGATGAAAAGTCAATGATACACTCATTTTGATCCCAATGTCTTTGTGTTACTTGAATATTTTTACTTTGAACAATGCACAAGTCATGGTGGAAAGAATGGATATGAAAATAATACATGCATGGATTTTATCACCTAGAAGTGTAGGTGATACAAAAAATGATTTTGTAATTCTTATAATTGTACATAAAATTTATATATAATATGCCTGATATAAATTTCACAAAACAAATTAAAAAATCATACCATCATTACCATCAGCCCACTCCCAAATACCAGGTAGCACTCACAACTCTCTCAGCAATTTACCTGTTAGTATAAATGAATTTCCATTCATTCCCGAGAGCCAATTATGATCTTGAGAGATGTGATAGACATGCGCCTGATGCTAGAAGATGCTTGTGAAATGTTGAATGATTCAAAACTTATCTTTTAAAAATATTCATGACTTATTATTACCTATGGAGAAAGAATTCAAACTTATCTCAAATTCATCAGTCATTGAAGATGTTCAATTAAAATATAACAAGGGGCAATTCATTTCTTGAATTATCACATTGATAAATAATTTTTAAAACTTGTAAACTCAGCACTATTGAGAGTTTGGAGAAATAGCAAATCACTGGTAGTGTAATCATTCTGAAGACAATTTGAAAATATGTATTAAAACCATAAATGATTCGTACTCTCTGACCATTAATTTCTCTCTTGGGCATCTGCTCTAAGAGAACAAAAGTTAATTTTTTAAATGTATGGTTAAAGTTGTTCATCACAGCAGTAAAATATCAGTATAATATCAATAAGAAACATTGCAAATGCACAACTCTAAGACATCGGTTAAATTAAATGTGGTACTTGTGAAATACTAGTTAGCAATAAATACATTTAATTATATGGGATTTTGTTTTACTATGTAGTGCTGTTGTTTTATATTTTAATTTTTTTTTTGAGAGAGAAATATTTAATATTTATTTTTTAGTTTTCGGTGGACACAACATCTTTATTTTATTTTTATGTGGTGCTGAGGATTGAACCCAGTGCCCCGTGCATGCCAGGCGAGCACATTACCACTTGAGCCACATCCCCAGCCCAGTGCTATTGTTTTAAATGGAGAATTACAAAACATTTTGTTAAAATATGTTGATATGCTCTATGTATTTTATATATGTTATAAAGGCAAAGGGAAAAAAGACCAAAATGTAACAATGTCTACAATGGTTACATCTGGTTGGTGGGACTGACTGAATACATATTTTTATCCTTTATAATCTTCTTTATTTCTCATATTTTATAGTCATAAAATTTTAATAAAACCCCAAAGTAGTACTACAATAAAACCAAAAGGGAAACAAGATAAAGACTGAGCGGCTTCTCAGGGTTACCCGGCACCAGCAGTGTCAAGGGCTAAAGACAACCCAGGTGTGGAAGGTGTGGATTTCAGGGTACAGGAAACCACAGAGCCCTGAGGAAAGTCAAGAGGAAATAGAGGAGAAGAGAGGTACAAGTGATGGGGAGAGGAAATGCCCCCCAGCCCCCCACCCCTGTGGACAGAAGGAACCATTGCAGAACCACCTGGTTCCTTTCCTCCTAATAATCAGTTCTCCTTCACAGTTCCCAGGGTCTCTTTAATGGGCACATCCTGTTGGCAGCCACAGGTCCTTTCTCCTCCACATCCCTGTGCCATGTGGACCAGTGAGCTGTCATTATCATTCTGTAATCATTCTTTTTTTTTTTTTTTGGATGGTGCTGGGGATTGAACCCAGGGCCTTGTGCATGTGAGGCAAGTACTCTACCAACTGAGCTATACCCCAGCCCTCTGTAATCGTTCTTATTCCTTCTCTACCCCAACATCACCTTCCTTTCTGGATCTACTTCTGCCTCTTATGCCCCGGCCCAGCTAGATTTCTCCCTTGCATTCTGCACGCGTTGTCACCAAGGCTCATTAGTTCTTCCTCTGCCTGACTCATCGCTATGGGCTTCCAAGTGCCTGCCTGCCTCTAGGTTGAGCTCCGTTTTAATCCACATTGTGCAATACAGCACATATGTAAACTTCCTAAAAGACATCTTCCCCCTTTTGTTCAAAGTGCTTTCAAAAATTTCCATGGCTATTTATTGTCAGTGGAACAGGGCTCACATTTAGATGGGTCTTAGGGGCTTCCTCACCACTCGCCTCCTCCCTTTCTTTCTAGACCTATCTTCCACTTACTAGAAACCATTTATTGTTCTAGTAGATGTGATTGTCATCAGAGTAAATAGTTATTCAGTGTTTACTATGTGCCATGGTGAACATTTTAAGTATTATCCTATTTAATCCTCACATATTGGTCTGATGCTTATAAAGTATAGTACATGAATAATTCATATGTATTTATACATAAAAGACCTGGGGCTTGAAGAGGGTAAATAACTTCCCCAGATCACACTGAAAATGAGTAGCAGAGCGGGGATTTAAGCCAGGTCTGACTGGCCCCAGAATCTGCATTCCTATCACCAATCTCTTCTTCCTTTCTCCCCTCTAAGACTCCTCTAAGACTCCAACCAAGCTGATCTCCTCCTGGGTTTCTCTGTCTTAGTGCTTTTCACTGGGTCAGGGCCCTGCTCCACCAGAACTGCCTTTCAGAATTCTACCCATTTTTTTAAAATTCATTTTGTGGTTTCTTCTTAGACATGACAGTAGAATCCATTCTGATAAAATTATACAAGCATAGGATATATCTTATTCTAATTAAGACCCCATTCTTGTGGGTAGGCATGATGGGGGTTCACTTACAGAATTCCATGTGTGTACATAGGAAAATTATGTTACATTTATGCTACTGTCTTTTCTATTGAAATCTACCCCTCTTTGAAGGTTCACTGACAGTTAGCTCTTCTATAACACTGCACGTGTTGGCATTTTTCCATGAGGACAGCCCTGTCCCGTCATATGGATTGTAATTTCACTGCAAGTCCAGGAAGTTGAGTACACTGTGGCACCTAGAGCACACAGAGTCTTCCTACAAATGGTTCCCAAATGAATGCTTGATTGCCTGATGGTGGATGGAGTGCTGTGGTGGGCCAAACCACTGAGAGTTGAGAAGAGAGGAGACACTGGAAGACAGAGAGCAGTTTGAGAAATCTTGAAGTAAATCCAAGAATCCTACTTCCTAACTTGACCAGATTTGTGAACCTATAAGCATCATCTCAGTACAATCAGCACTCTTTCTGCAAACTTGCAAGAATCTTTGGGAATGCTTCTCCCACCTACCTGTACAGAGAGTACATTTAGAGGGACTCTAGACAGGAAAGGAAATAATGCGATATAGGGGAAGGACACAAATGCATGGGGAAAGGGAAGGATTCCAGGTGCCTTTCTGTTGTTTCTCAGTCATGTCTTCCACAGGTCTCTGCTCTTAGGAAATCAGTCCACATGGTACAAAGAGGGAGCAGGTGAGGAGGAATACGTGGGCTCCAAAAATAAGAGAGAATCTACTCTGTGACAATTTGGGAACAATAATAGTTTTCAATAAACACAAATTTTAAGAACAGGGAGGGTAAGGTGAAAGGGTGGAAGCAGGAAGGAATGAAACTCAGGAGTGAGTGGGAGAGGTGGTAGGCAGGAGAAGGAGGAAGGTGGAGAAAGAGAGGAGAACTAAAAAGGAAACACTAGAGGGTGGGAAGTGTAAGAATAAGACCTGGTTGTATTTTCTCCTAGGGGTGGGAAGAAGCTGCATGGTGGATGTGGGAGGCGGGGGAAAGAACAGTGCATGTCTATATTCTGCTCTCTCTCCCACCTTCTGTCCTAAATTCCACCTAACACATAAACCAATGTAGACAAAAGTCTTAGTTCTAGATACACGTAGCTGTTCTCCAAATGTCATTGCTCCAGAATTCTTGCCCAGTGGCTTCTTCATACCTTCCCCTCTCCCCACTTGTCTCACCCTAGGCTTTGGCAGGAGATTCCTCAGTGTTGACTTGACCACAGGAAGGACACTGGAGCCTCACCTACCTCCAGCCCAAAGTGGCCAAGGAGATTTAGAGCCTCGCATTTTCTTGGTCACCCTTGTCCTGCAGCTGTATTCTTCTGTCCTCTCTCAGACC